GGGATTTCTGAAGGTCTCTATGTGTCCCTAAGGACCTCTGGAAGTCTCTGTGCTGAGAGACTGGCCCTGCCTGACATTCAGGCTTGTTTCAGACCTAGGCTCTGGGTATGTCAGGCGGGAGGAGGGGGAGTATGGAGGTGTGCCCTCTGGAAGATTCTGGTCCCCCTCAGGCAGTGGAGCCCAGGGCTGCCCTGCTTCCCATAGCCTGGCCACGACCTGCTGGGGCAGCAGCAACACGGCCCAGACCTCAGGTCCCCCAGGCCCCAGGCCCATCAGACCCCTGGCATGCTCCAGAACCCAGGACCTTGGGCGCCTGGGTGGCTCAGTCATTAAGCGTCTGCCTTCGGCTCAGGTCGTGATCCCAGGGTCCTGGGATCGAGCCCCGCATCGGGCTCCCTGCTCCGCGGGAAGCCTGCTTCTCCCTCTCCCACTCCCCCTGCTTGTGTTCCCTCTCTTGCTGTGTCTCTCTCTGTCAAATAAATAAATAAAATCTTTAAAAAAAAAAAAAAAAGAACCCAGGACCTCCTCACATGCCGGGAATTTCTAGACCCCCAAACCCCGGGACCTAGGCCTCCCAAACTCCAGACCCCACTAAATGGTCTAGACTCCAGGTCCCGCAGGTCCCCCAGACCCACCTACAGACCCCACTATCCCAGGCCCCAAGCCTGCCTCCCTCCGCCCCACACACACTTCCTCATTTCCTCATTTCCTTCTATTCTAAGAGGGCTTCATGCTGGACACTTCCGACTCCTCCCAGGGTGTGGGGCATGGGGGACATCCACCCACACCGGGGCCTGAGGCCAGCTGCCCCTCTTATGCCAAAGGCCCATCTTTATGTGTGCTTGTTGGCTGAGGCCCATGTTTTCACTGAAAAACATACGTGGGGAGGTTCTCCCTCTCATCTGCCTGATGCTAAGAGGTAACCGTGAATTTTCGTTTTTCATGTTTCACCCAAAGTTTCTTTAGCCAATTGAAATCTAGGAGTTTATTTTTTGACCTTTTTTCTTTTTTTAGATTTTATTTATCGGAGAGAAGAGCACAGAGGGAGAGTGAGAGGAAGAAGCAGATTGACCGGGGCTCCATCCCAGGACCCTGGGATCACGACCTGAGCCGAAGGCAGACGCTTAAGGACTGAGCCACCCAGGCGCCCCTAAATAAATAAGATCTTTAAAAAAAAAAAAAGAGTTGCCACCTTCCCTGCTTGCTTCTCGATTTTATTTTCTTCTGCTTCTTCCACCTGTCTCATATTTTCCCGGTAGATCCTGCACGTCGCCGGTTTCTCCAACTGCTACAAGAAGCCCATGGGGACAGGGATTTTGTCTGTTTTGTTCAGGGCTGTATGCACAGCTCCTAGACCAGTGCCTGGCACACCGTAGGCACTTCATAAAGCTTTGTGGAAAAGATGAATGAGTCTTTCCTTATTGGTTCACAAAGCTCTATCATTTTGTTTTTATGACTCTGAGCCACTCCCCGCCCCAAGGATGGATGAACTGTTGTTCATCTAACCAACCCTTTAGGTTGCTTCCTTTTTTCCACCCCGTATAACAACATTGCAGTGAAGCATCTCAGCTCTGCCAACTTTTTGCCTTCCCTCTTTTTTTAAATGGTTCAAAATACACTTAACAGGGCGCCTGGGTGGCTCAGTCGTTAAGCGTCTGCCTTCGGCTCGGGATCATGATCCCGGGGTCCTGGGATCGAGCCCCGCATCGGCCTCTCTGCTCGGCGGGAAGCCTGCTCCTCCCTCTCCCACTCCCCCTGCTTGTGTTCCCTCTCTCGCTGTGTCTCTCTCTGTCAAATAAATAAATAAAATCTTTAAAAAAAAAGTACACTTAACATAAAATTTACCATTTTAGCCATTTTAGAGTGAACAATTCAGGTTTTTTTTTTTTTTTAGTACATTTCTAGTGTTTTGCAAGCACCACCAACATCTAGTTCCAGAACATTTCCACTGTCCCAAATGGAAACCCTATGCCCATGAGCAGGCCCTCCCCCTCGGCCCCTGGCAACCACCAGTCTCCTTTCTGTCTCCATGGATTTGCCTGTTCTGGACGTTTCCTATCAATGGAATCACAGGCTATGTGGTCTTTTGTGTCTGGCTTCTCTCACTCAGCATCATGTTTTCAAAGTTCATCCACGATGTAGCGTGTGTGAGGGCTTCGTTCCTTTTTATGGCTGAGTAATATTGCGCTGTATGGATGCACCGCATTTTGTGTATCCACTCACGAGTTAGTTCATGCCCCTGCTGCCCTTCTCATTTTGTAAATGTGAATTATTCAGGAGCATCCCAAAAGTGGGCTGCTGCGTCAGCAAGCACAAGTGTTTGTTCCTCTGGTGGCCTGTGTCAGTGTGCCTTCCCCTGGGATAGCGCCACAGTGTCCCCACAGCCCCGCAAGCACCGGACATCATCACACTTTTGAAGTTTCACGAGTCTGAGGAAAACACACGGTACCTCAGAGTTGTGATTTGCAATTTTTCTGTGAGGAGGGAATACCTTTGGGTGTGTTGAAGCAACGACTTGCAACTTTCTATAAAGTCTCAGTTCAAAAACTTTGGTCAATTCCTCTGAGTTCCTAGATGGAAAGGGGCAGAGTTTGAGGAGAGGGGAAAGCATGGGCGAGTGAATTTCAGCTTCCCACAGTCAAGGAGAAGGCTCTTAGGGGCGCCTGGGTTTCTCAGTCTGTTAAGCAGCTGCCTTGGGCTCAGGTCATGTTCCCAGGGTCCTGGGATCGAGCCCCCCATCGAGCTCCCTGCTCAGCAGAGAGCCTGCTTCTCCCTCTCCCTCTGCCTGCTGCTCTGCCTACTTGTGCTTGCTCTCTATCTCTCTGTCAAATAAATAAATAAAAATCTTTAAAAAAAGGGGGCTCCTGGGTGGCTCAGTCGGTTGGGCGTCTGCCTTCAGCTCAGGTCATGATCCCAGGGTCCTGGGATCGAGCCCCACATCGGGCTCCCTGCTGAGCAGGGAGCCTGCTTCTCCCTCTCCCTTTGCCTGCCACTCCCCCTGCTTGTGCTCTCTCTCTCTCTCTGTCAAATAAATAAAATCTTTAAAAAAACAAAATTTTAAAAAAAAAAAGGAGAAGGCTGTTAGCATTTGTCCCATTTTACAGATGTAGAACCTGAGGCACAGAGTGGTTAAGGTTGCACCGTGAGTCAGTGTCCGGAATGGATTTGAACCTGGTCTGCCTGATGCCAGGACCCCGGTGAGGCTGAGACACTCCCCCAGCCCTTAATCTCCTTCTTAGTCTACTTTTGTTACTACCCTTTGGGTCTGACTCAGGCCCCCCTCCTCCTCTGGAACTCTGCCCTCCTCCCCAGGTTCCCCATCTCCAGACACCAGGCTCACTCTGGAGGAATCTTTTAACACAGTACCCCTCCCCTGCTCACACATCTTCCTTGGCTCCCCATGGCCCTGAGAATAATGTCCCACCCCTCACCCTGGTGTCTGAGGCCAGCACTGCCCACCCCCTGCCCACACCCCCAGTTTCTCCTCTCAGCCTGTCCACTCCAACCCCTCCGCTCCTAAACACACTGTCCAAGCCAGCCACGCTTTCTCAAGCTGCAGGGCATCTGCTCCTATTGTGACTTCTGCCTGGAATCTGCCACGCATTTGTTTCTGCCAGCTACTGTGACTCATCCTCCAAGCCCCAGACTCAACGACTCCTTCCCCAGGGAACCCTCCTTACAGCCCCTTCCAGCATGGAGGCATCGCTGTACCCGAGCACGAGCTCTGAGTCTGTGGGGAAGGCCACCAGGTTGGAGAGTCAAAGGCAGGCTTTAGGAATCCTTGGCAAAACCCTACTCATGTGTGGAAGCCCCGATTCTAATGCTTCCTCCTCCCGGAAGCCTTCCAGGATTCTGTCCCTCTCTCTGACCTGACCTGACTCCACTGGACTGGGTCTGTCTGTGTCCAGCTCTGTCCTCTCCGAAAACTGGGTGCTTCACCAGAACCTGGCCATACTGAGGCCTTTTGGAAGTTCAGCATGGGTGATTGTTGAATGAACAAATGAACACATGGGTTGGGCATCAACTGAGCTGACGCCAGGAAGCGAGTTGATGAGGTAGCAGTTGGTCGGTTAGGGTATTAATGGGGGACATGTTGTCACTGGGTTCCAGGAAAAGAGAAGCAGGTCGCTCCTCCCCCTCCCGTGAGAATCCTGGGCCTGAGGCCTTTGCAGGGGGGCGGGTCTCTGTGTCTTATTTCTTCCCCTCAGCATTACACCCGGACACCAGTTCCTCTTCCCCTGAGTCGCTGGGTGCAGATCCTGAGGAGCGCCCCGGACCACAGCGGATCCGCGGAGGGTGCTGACCACTTCGGCCCCCACGTCCAGGTGAGCCACCACGCAGCCCCTCCCGCGCCAGAACCTTCCACCCTGCCGAGGCAAAAGCGTGATGGTGGGACCAGAAAGATAGGACGGAGGCGCTAGAACTTGGGTCCGGGAAGGGGCCTCAAGCCAGATTGGAAGGGGTTCCTTACAGCAGCCCCATCCAACCCCAGCCCGAGACTCTCAGCACCCCGCCGTTCTGCGAGAAGAGAAACAATTAGCGGGGCCTGGGCCTGGGCCTGGGCCGGGCCGTTTCCGGGGCAACCGCTTATTTTGCATATGGTCCCATCTTGGCCAATGAGGGCGCCTGAAATATTCGTGGTGGGGGGGGTGGGGTTGGTGTTGGGGGGAATTGGGCGACTTAACCCGAAGGGGCTCCACTGGGAGAAGGGGAGGGGCTGACTGGGCCGGGTCTTCTCCTCGCCTTCCAGGACCGTCAGGCACCCGGATTACTTACGTACCCATTCCCCAGAGGGGGAGACTGAGGCCAGAAACCAGAGCCATCCAGAGGGGCGGCAAGCGAGGACCTGCGCTTTACCATTTCAGAAGCGGCCTGGGCCACTCTGAGATGATGATGATATAATAATAATAATAATAATAATAATAATAATACAACACAAGCAGTGAGGGTGAGGTGATCACAGGCTAAAGTCGGGCTTAGATTCTGGTGTCTCTGCCTAGGTTGCTTGAATGGGGGGCTCCCTGGCGTGGATGCTGTTGTTGCCGCTGCTGCTGCAGGATCCAGGCAGCCAAGTCTTTTCCTGCAACGTGTCCTCCGGGATTGTGGACTGGAACACAGAGTTCACAGACATATGCCTGAATTTCAGTGGCCAAGGCCTCAGACTGCCCCAGAACCAGTCTCTGCAGGCCGGGAACCTGCTGTACCTTAACCTGTCTGGGAATAGTCTTCGAGAGCTACCATTGTCCTTCTTTAAACTCCTGGGAAAGCTGGAGGACCTAGATGTGACAAACAACCCACTGACCCAGGTGGCCAGGGAGTTGGCCGTGAGCTGTAAACTTGACCTGAAGGCTGACTGCAACTGTGTCCTGGAATCCTGGCACCAGGTCCGAGAGAACAACTGCTCTGGCCAGCCACCTCTCAAGTGCCGAGACAGAGCTACCGGTGCCTGGCACAATGTCTCTGCCTTCCTGGAGGCTGGCTGCTCCCGTGGCCTGTCCTTGATGACCATCGGGACACTGGTGGCCAGTGGAAGCCTGCTCCTGGGGCTCACCATTGCTGGCCTAGTGCTGGCCTGGAGACTCCGGGCACGCCGGAGGGTCAGTAACCGGGACCTGGACAAAACAGGGGCTGCTCAGGATGGTTCTTGGTCTGGCTCTGGCAAGCAGCCAAGATACAGTAGCCAGGGCCTCAGCCCTAAGCCCCCAGCAGCTGCCGTGCCCAGACCCTCCACCCCCGACTATGAGAATGTGTTCGTGGGCCAGCCAGCTGCCGGGCACCAGTGGGCCGAACATGGGTGAGTGATTCACATCTGCCTGCAAGACTCTGGAGCCAGATGGCCGGGTTTCCAATCCCTGCACCACCTCTCGTAGGCTGTGTGATCTTGGGCCAGTCGATTTACCTCAGGGCCTCCGTTTTCTCATCTGTAAAATGGAGATAATAACAGCCCCCACCTCGCAGAGTTGGGATAAGAATTAAGTGAGTTCCTGAATATGAGACAAGTTTCCTCCTTCGTGACCTGCAAACTGAGTTTCTGGTGGCCAAGGATGGGGGAGAGGGAGCAAGTGTTCCAGGCAGAATAGGGGCTTCACAGAAGTAGTTGGTGGCCTGGCTCAGATCCTGTGTGACCCAGGGCTATCTCTGAGCCTCTGTTTCAATCTCTGTAAGATGGGGACAGCTCCCCTTTCCACATGTCCCTTTGACACATGAGATGTTCAGAAAACCGTGTCCTTTTCTCCCCGACAAAGCCCTGACACCTCTAGATTTGGCTGGACTTAGATGGAGGGGTTCAACTTTTCCAGGTTGGATGAGGGAATGAAAGGAATTGCGGGGGGCAGGCCCATCAGGGGCAAAGTCCTAGAGGTGGGAGAGAATGGAGAATCTTCTGTGAATCCGTTTGAGAAGGCAAGACATCAGAGCTGAGGCTGGAGGTGGCTGGGAGAATCCAAGCAGGAATGGAACAGGGTCATGGATCGGTGTGGGCAGGGGAATCCACAAAGTGGGGAGGCTGGTGGGAAGCTGTGGGTGAGAAATGAGAGAATATGCAAAGCAGATGCAAATAGGACTCAAAAGCAGAAGCGGCCTGCAGGAGGGAGTTGTAGGCATTCGACTTGCTAAGGCAGCTTGTGCTGTGAGGCTCACCTCTGTCTCGCTGTCACCAAAGCCTCAGGATCAGTCTCCTCCAAAAACTTTGTTTAGAATGCAATCTGTCATTCCCACCCTACATTTTACTTGAACAAACGGAGGCTCTGGGAGGCGGGGGAGTGACTTGCCCAAGGTCACACAGTGAGTCTGAAAGCAGAGTCTGGCTCCCAGTTCTGTCTATCCCTAGACAAGCATTTATGTGTTTGGAGTGATTCATTCTAAAGCATGAATAACCGATGGACACCACTTGTTCAAACCAGAGTAGGGTTAGAATGTTCCAGAGGCAGGAGAGTTCTTTTGGGGGGGGGGGGCTTGCCCACCATACATAACTAGACATTGCTAAGAAGCTATCTCCTCCCAGACCAATTCTATGGATGCAGAAACTGAGACTCAAATTTATTTCTGTATTGAGGCCACAAAGTCTGTTGCTTCAGAGAATCTAGTAAAAACATTTCCCAGCTGAAAGGGCACTGGTTTGGCTCTAGCCACTTGTGTCCATGGGGCTGGTGCCACTAGAGCTTCTGATTTTTCAAGAGGAAACTGAAAAAATTAGTGTAGATTTAAAATTTAAGAAAAATTTAAAGTCTAGACTTTAATGTAAAAAATGAGCAACTACCTCAACTTTAAGGAAGAAAACAATTTGACCATGGGCTTGAGGTCCTTGGACAGGAGCGTTACAATGCTAAATCCAGGGGCGCCTGGGTGGCTCAGTCGGTTGGGCTACTGCCTTCGGCTCAGGTCATGATCCTGGAGTCCCGGGATCGAGTCCCGCATCAGGCTCCCTGCTTAGCAGGGAGTCTGCGTCTCCCTCTGACTCTCCCCCCTCTTGTGCTCTCTCTCTCTCTCTCTCATTCTCTCAAATATATAAATAAAATCTTAAAAAAAAACAACAAAAAAAAACCCAATGCTAAATCCATGGAATCTTTCCTGAATCCCTGGCCCCCACCTCCTTTCCTCAGAGGAAGTTGGGCGGCTGGGAGAACACGGCCCTGTGCCTCAGTTTCCTCGTATGTAAACACTAGGAGGGGACTCAGGCGCCCAGAACTTTCGTGCCTACCCCCTGAGTGCTCCCTCCCCTCTCATCTCTCTGTCTCCACAGGGCCCACCCATCAGAGGACAACGACTTCTACATGAACTACGAGGGCCCCAACCATGCCTCCCAGCCTGTCTACTGCAACCTGCGGTCGATGCACCAGACCCCACTTGACGAAGAGGAGTACGTGATCCCCGGGCGCTGAGCCTTTGATGCCCTGAACTCCAGCCTGCTGCTTTCTACTTACTTGGGGGCATTCTGGCTCTTCACTGGCCTCAGTCTTCCCACCTGAGGAATGGGGACAGGGAAGGACCGTCCCTGAGGCCCAGGGATTCAGCTCCCTCTCCAGCCCCCGCTCTGCTTCTCAGCTCCCTCAGCTGCTGCAAGGGGGAAGAGGAGAGGCCCCGCCATGGGGACAGGAGGCTCAGTTTGTGAACGCTGTCATCACCCTCCCGTCGGTGTGCAGGTGGTGCTTAATAAACGCTGCTGGCTCAGGGCAAGTGGGTTCCTTGAGGTGAGGATTCCCTAAGCTCCCCAGACCAGATTCTCCGAGACTCCCGAATTGTTCCCCACTCTGTCCCTCTCAGGCCCCGTTCCCAGGCACTTGGTACCCAGGCTCAGCCCCCAGGGCAGCCCAAACCAGCCCCAAAGGGATCATTATAACTTCCGAATGGGACTGTGCCCCTCCCCTGCTCACACAGCCTCCGTGGCTCCCCATTGCCCCCCGGGACTTCAGCCTGGCCGTTGAGGCCTGCGTGGTTCTGCCCTACCCCCTCACTATCACTATCCTCTCCCATCCTTCTTTCTGGTCTAGGCCTCCTCACCACCCAGCCCACCTCGCTCCTGAAGTTTTCATTTGCCCGTGCCACTCCTTTTGCCCAGAAAGCCATCCCCTTCCACTTGTTCTCATTCTTAAACATCTTTTTTTTTTTTTAAGATTTTATTTATTTATTCATGAGAGACAGAGGCAGAGGGAGAAGCAGCCTCCCCGTGGAGCAGGGAGCGCGATGCGGGACTCGATGCCAGGACCCTGGGATCATGACCTGAGCCGAAGGCAGATGCCTCACCGACTGAGCCACCCAGGCGCCCCACACTCTTAAACATTTTTTTTTTTTTAAGATTTTATTTATTTATTTGACAGAGAGGGAGAGAGACAGCGAGAGAGGGAACACAAGCAGGGGGAGTGGGAGAGGGAGAAGCAGGCTTCCCGCCGAGCAGGGAGCCCGATGCGGGGCTCGATCCCAGGACCCTGGGACCATGACCTGAGCCGAAGGCAGACGCTTAACGACTGAGCCACCCAGGTGCCCCTCAGCTGGGCTTCCTATCAGCTGCTCCCAGCCTGGACCCTGCCAACCCTCCAATCTAGGGGAGAGAGCCGGACACAGATACCCTCAGTCCTGAGAGGTCAAGCTTGGGCTGGAGGGAGGGATGGGGCCAAGGGATCCAGAGAGAGATGAACAAAAGAGTTTGGAAAAGGCTGCTCACGAGAAGGGAATCTGGAGTGGGCTTTGAAGGATGTGTGTTTGAGAAGCAGAGGACACGCATACTGTGGGGGTGGGTGGGGGGACCGGCCTGGTAAGCAGCAACTAGAGGTATGGAAAGGCACACGGGCATAATAATGTTCAGCAAAGGCAACAGCTGATATTTGGGGGAAACGCTCATATGGCATCTGCTAGCTTTGGGGGACCCTGGGATTGAGCTTAACTTTGAGGCTCTCTTGGGTTCCCCAACACTTGGGAATGATCTGGGGTGGGAGAGGGCACCTATAAAGGTCCTTAGCTTCCTTGAACCTCTGCATCCCCACCCTAGACACTGTTCAAATGCCCACCCCTGCCCCCGATCATGTGCCTTCCTCGCCTCCAGCATAAATTAGATCCCAGCCCTCTCCAGCTCCCACGCCTTCACATCTACCCATGGCTCTTCAAACACACCCACACCCCTCACCACCACCGATGAGATTTGGTGGATTCTGGCCCCCACCCACCTCTCTGACCCCATCTTCAACAGTTTTGCGGTTGAACACTGAGCTTGTTCCTACCTCAGGGCCTTTGCACCTGCTGTTCTGACTTCCTCAAATGCCCATTCCCCAACTCTCCCCTGAGTCCTGTTCTTCCTCCAGGTCTCAGTTCAGATGCCATCTCCTCAGGGAGGCCCCCTCCCCCAACCGTCTAAATCACCTCTGCCTGGGCGCCTGGGTGGCTCAGTTGGTTAAGAGACTGCATTCGGCTCAGGTCATGATTCTGGAGTCCCGGGATCGAGTCCCACATCGGGCTCCTTGCTCAGCGGGGGGGCTGCTTCT